CAAAAAATAACAAGCACCATAGTTTTTGCAGAAATAATTGACAGTAATAATTAATAACTAAAATCACTTAATCTCTTTTTAATTGAATAAATAATACTATAAAATATAAAAACTAAGGTATAATATTTTACTGTAAAAACTGGATTTTACTGAAAATTGATGTTAAGGGTGATGCAACTGTGTTTTATAACGTAACGACTGATCATATTATGATCATTTCTTAATGTACATTTTCTAGTATTTTTAACCATTCTGTAATCATTTGAATTATTTTATAATCATTATTAATTATTTTTAAATAATTTTTTATTGTTCATAATTATTTTGTTTCTGATCATTTTATATCCACACGGTTGATGCTGGTATTTTATACTGTAACTTCATACCGGATTTTTTTACAGTGCTTGAACATTCATTTCCTTAATCAATTTTTACCGATATGAATCAGTGTGATATTAATATATACTGTCGTATATTATATCATTTAATTTCTAGAATAACTACAGTACTTTAAGTTTAGAGAGTACAATTTTTAAAAACTTTACGAAAATTTATTTGAAATAATTTAAAAGAGTTTGTTGTTTGTACCCACTTATAATCATCTATAAAACAAAAGTAAATCAATCTTCTAATTGAGTCAAACAAATAAAAACATTTTCTTAATTGACTAAAAAATATTGCTATGTTTAGATTTAAAAGCTTAATTTCGAGTAACTAAACAATAATACTATTTGTTATTATTTATCATATATATGTAATTAATTTACAAAATGTAAGGAATAATTGAAAAAAAAAACTACTGTTTTTCAGCATGTTATATTTTCTGCACATGATTGCACTTCGATTGAGTTTTTAGTAATTTATACTCCAAATATCTTTCAGCCAAATAGTAAATTTGAAGCAATTTGTAAAGATAAGGAAAAGAAGTATTCTAATAACTTAAAAGAAGCTGATAAAGAAGTCAAGTGATTTAAAAGACTAATTAAAGAAAAAGTCTTGAAAACGTTCCATAAAAATTCAAATTTTTATGCTACAGTTTATTTAAAAACAATGAATAATTATGTCTAGAAGATGTAATTTTAATGAACCTTTTTGATCTTTTTTTCTGTTTAGATATGAATGAAAATGACCTAAAGGCAGTATCAAATTTTGAAAATAGATGGGTGAAATACACATTTCCCTTGTGCGATTTTTGTGACTTTGGTTGGACTTACAGTTCAAGGAAACTTGTTATCTGTCCGAAGCATGGACATTTGAGGAAACGATATATATTTGTAAAATAAAGTTATTAATTATTTGACTTATTTTTCCATGAATAAATGTAAAATTGTCTGAAATTCCAATGAGCTCATTTTCCGACACTGTAAGAAATTCCAGATCAAATTACAGGATAAAGTCCCGGGACTTTTGGGGAATCATCCATGAAATCCATTTTCTTATCCAATTTATTTTTAACGTAAAATATAGTTACTGTAAAATACAGTTGTTTATTAAGTGTGATTCAGAGATTTTACGGTAATTGATACTGCAAAAACAACAGTATGTCAGATTTTTGATACCCAAAAATATATTTTATAATTTTCCAATAAATTTCTACTTCTGACTATAAAAAATTCCGAAGCAAATTACGGTATAAAGTACCTGCTCACTTTGGGGGCATCATCCGCAAAATTCATTTTACCTTAAAATTCATTTTCACAGTAAAAATTATACCATTACTTCAGTTAGAGTGAATCAGGGATTTTACGGTAATTAATACTGTAAAAATTACGGTATATCGGATTTTTTGTTACGTAACATGTTAGGGTAAAAAATGTATTTCACGCTCAAAAGTACTGACACTCTGAGTGATAACTTCTATCTCTACTTCTTATTATAATTTGATCCGGGTTTTCTTACAGTGAAGTAAGAATTTTTTAAATAATTTTATTCTCGTGCAATTAGTAAATTAGCCATACAAAATTTACTTCTATTTACCTTACACAATCTTTAAGAATTTAAGATTTCCTAATTACAATTTTCGTCATATAATCTAAGTGAACTTCGACTGGTCACATTAAGTCAGGACTAAAGAATTTGCATTTGGATATTGAGATGACGGATTTGTATTACAGTTACTATTTTATTGTCACACAGACTAGAATATTTTTTTTTCTTTTATAAATTTTTGTAATTTGCTTTTTAAAGAATGTGGGTGCCATACTTCACTTAATGAGTTTATTAGCTTTGTCCCACAATACTTTTATTATTTTCATTAATGCAATTTTTGAGAAATTCTGAAAAGTTAAAAAGAAAACGAATGTTGAATATCTCAGTCAACTAGAGAAGAGGACCTTAACTATATATGATTTTTTAAAGAGCTTTACGTAATATAAATATCTCCATTCCGGTAATATAATGATATAGCACATTTTCACAATCTGTATTCTATTACTATTTATTTTGCAAATTCATCACATTTATTCTGCAATAATGAATCAATGCAGTTACTAATTGTAATTAAGTGGTGTATGAAATCCGCGATTACAAAAAGGTATTTAAATACAAACTTTAATCATATTAACGAGTTACTCTTTTAGTAATAAATATAAATTTTAGAATGCAAAATGTTGTAGAGATACAGATCGAGTTGAGTTTCTAAATGTAAGCCTCTTCTATTCTAATACTTATTAGTTATTGCATTTAAGAGTCTTTATATATATTTATCACATCTCACTCTATCCGATATCCAATCATTTTCAAATCTGTTTATCTAATTTTTCGTTTTGCATTTTAGTTTTAAATTATACAAAAATCTTACAAATTTTCAATTTCTTTTAATTTTTTTATTATAAAATATTATCATTAAAAGTAGAAAAAATTTTAACACTATTAGAACGAAATTTGATTTGAGAGTCTTTTAGAAAAAAAATCTTTGAAATCATAGAACTTCAAAGAAATCAATAATGCATATTTTTTGTAAGTATTGCTTCATTTTGATAGTAAACAATTTCAAAATTGCTTTTAGATTTTGATATTTTATTTTTTGTCAGCTAGAACTGAAAAAAAAGTAATAAAAAAGTGGGAAAAAATGCATCAAAAATCTAATAAATGGAATTTATGTTAAGAAAATAGAAAAGAAAATGAAAACAAACAAAGAATGGGCGATTTTATTCGAAATAAAAACACGTTCTTTTAGAATCATACGATGTAAAAAATTCCCAATCAGATATACTGTACAAAGTACAGGTTTGTACAGTATAGATTGAGTGCATCATTAGATAAAATCCATTTTACCGTTAAATCTATTTTTATTCTAAATTAATATACCATTATTTTTGCATTAATATTTATTTAAATAGAGTTATTCAGTGATTTTAAGAATAGTTATTACTGTGAAAGTTATGGTATAACAGGTGTTTTGTTTCGTAATATGTTCCACTAAAAATAAATTTTACGGTAAAAAATATCGACACCCTGAGTCCCGATACCTTTTATTGTAATTTGATCTGGAATTCTTTACAGTGCCCTAGCTTTATATTAAAAATTAGAAAACATCTTCAATTTCATTTTTTTTTTAAATAAAAAGATGAAAAGATGATAGAAGGAATTTTGTAATTTTTTTTTTACGTGCAAACCGAAAAAAAAATCAAAAGCATAAATCTTTTTTTTTTTTTACTTTTAAAATGTGTTCTAGAACTTCTAAAAACGTTTAAGGTATTCTATTTATAAATATACAGTTTGATAATTTATAAAACTGAATGTAAATTTTATTTTAATACTAAACTTTATTCACAAGAAGAGACAAAAAGATTGGAAAGTATTCTATCCCACAAAAAATGTATAAGATGCACCATACACGGAACAAAGTAAAGCATAAATAAATAAATATCAGATATCTCACGACATGCAGCGGATTGGAACACAAGAGACCAAAAGTCTCGAAGATTTTTCCTTCAACGAATCATTTTTTCCCTTTCTTTTATTTCCTAAGACATTTTCTTTCTCTATCTTTTCATTTTTACTTTCCTCTTCTGTGGCTATTCGTTCACCTATCCCCACAATGAAACGCACCTAGCTGTTTTTTCCCCCGTAAAGGGAAGATAGGGAAAAATATATATGATTCGTTTCATCTTTGGAAAGAGACACTACAAAACTGGAATAGAACGAGCAAAGGGGGTGGGATGGAACAAAAAAATAAGGGAGTTGTGGGGGAAAATGAATGTGGAACAACAGTTCTAAAGGGGAAAATATACGCTTATGCTTGAGGGAGATGTGTTCAGGAGTTTCCTAACTTATACGATGCGGTCTAGTAGAAATGAATATAGGGAAGAGTTTCAAGTGAAATGATACAAATAGTAAAAAAGGAGGGAAAAAAGGGTATAAATATACACATTTTTTGTTACCTAAGAGATGGATGATTTTCTCTATACATCGGGATTGTGTACTACAAACGTGTGTGAAAAGACGAACCTGCGGCGAAGCATTTTATTGCTCATTGTTCCTCGTGAAAGATTGGATACCAAGTCTCAAAACTATTTTACATTCATCCAGGGATTGTACTCTGAAAGAGCGGATTGTTTTCGAGCCTTTGTAGACCAGCAATAAAAATATCATTTGAAATCTACGGCTTGGTTTTACATCTATTTTGCAGAGTTGTATTATTTAATGAGTATATTAAAAAAATCAAAAGAATTAAAAATATACATGCAGTTAATTTCTTTAGAAATGATACAAACGATGTCATTTTTAATGAATTTGAATTAAAAAATGACAGGAGTTTCTAAGAAATTACGTCTCATGTTCATATTAAAGCATAAATACATTTTTTTTATTATTTTAAATTGAATCATTTAGCTTAATTATCTCTATATATATTTCTCTTACACGGCGACAAAAAAAAGCCTCATTACAACTCCCCGAATGGCAACGCTAGAAAATCGACCAATGATTGCCGCTAAAAATGTCACATGCCAAATCTAGCTGAGGTGGCTCAATTAGGAAGGCTGCCCAACATAAAGATGAGCCATCAACATACACAGGCCATCAAAAAGGTTCAATTGCTAAAATATCTTGGCATTTATCTTGACCCAGGTTTGACCTGGATAGCACACTTAAATCAGGTCAAAGAAAAAGTGAGCAAATTCAATAATTTGATCAAAAGGGTGGCCAGGGCAACTTGGGGACTCAAACCAAATATCTTAGAAACGATCTACCTTCGGGCAACGGAACGAATCATACTCTATGCCGCCAGTGTCTGGTACCGTAACACCACAAGGATTAATGATAAACTTAGGTCAATCCAACGCACATCTCTTATCGTCATTACAAGGGCCTACTCCACCACCAGTACCGAGGCCCTCCAGATACTGGCGGGAGTTAAACCCATTCATCTGAAAATTATTGACGACACTTGGCTTAAGAGGCTACAGTGGGAGTACAGAATGGAAGACTACGATATTGAAATAAGAGAACTTCTACGATATACTAAAATCGAGAAAAAACCTGATAGAATTCATCCTTATTTATATGTTTCCGTTCCCTTTGGTAGATCAATTCCAAATAATCAGGGTGTTGAAATTTTCACTGATGGCTCACGGATGGAGGTTGCCGAGGATACTAATAACATATTTGAACAAAGGACAGGACTAGGTGTTGTTGTTAGGAATAACGGTAAAACAATTGATGCGACCTCCATCAGAATGAGCAATAACAGCAGTGTGTATAAAGCCGAGCTGATGGCGATTAAAACTGCCTTAAATTGGCTTGCAATAAATAATTATCCCGATGCGACAATATACTCCGATTCGCTCTCCTCGTTGCAAGCTTTAAATAATCCAAAACCTGTGTCCCCTTTGTTTGAAAAAAACCAAAGAACTCTGGCAAAACAATATCAAACTCAATTGGGTAAAGGCCCACATAGGAATAGATGGCAACGAGGAGGCGGATAGAGTTGCAAAGGATGTCATCAGTCTCGGTAGTATTACTATTGAGTCCCCGAACACCATCGCCCAAGTTAAAACAATGGTCATAGATTACACAAATAAGAGATGGAAACAAGACTGGCGGGATTCTGAAAAAGGTAGACAGGTTTATAAATTTATAAAAGACCCAAAACATAATAGACTGCAGGCAAACTTCTATTTTAACCAATTTTTAACGGGCCATGGAGTGTTCGGTGACCATCAAAGTAGACTCTTTAACAAATCTCCGGTATGCAATTATTGTGGTGAATTTCAAAATGCTGATCACTTGATTTTGCATTGCCCAAGATTCCGAACACTCCGCGGAAATAATTTTCAAAATTTAGATCAAGTCCAATGCTTTTCAAGCTCGACCTGCAGGGGTATAATTAAATCCATCATTAAACAAACATTGGAGGATATTCTAGAGGAAGTCTAATAATAATTCAGAATCCACGGCCTCTAATTTGGGTGTCTCAACCGTATCATGTTTTACTATTTTATTATTTATTTTTATAAATTTACTAATTTTAGACTTTGAGTTTTTAAATTTTTAT